CAATGTCTTCAATGTGTAAATGCCATAAGGTGCAGCTGCATCATTTGTTTGTGCATGGTGTCCATGGAAGCATTCTGAGCAACCAACAGGTTATCACAGTCAGCCTCTAGACTGGAGACCTTGAATTTCCATCTAGTGAAGTCTGCCATGGTCAGCGTGCTAGTGGCCTGTAAATTGGCTACAGTGGAAGTCTTCTGCATAATGGATGACCAATCAACGACTGCAACGTAAGGTCCACCAGGGTAAGTAGATATTGGCGGAGGGAGAATGTCCCAGAGCCTTTGCAAGATTCCAAAGCCTTGTGAATGCGTTGGGATTTGTGAGATATCACCATTTCCATGAGTAGAAGTAAAGTACTAAATTATTTTTTCCCAAAGTTCCCATAGAGTTCCAGAACTATGCAGCCAAAGCTTTGTTTTTTTTTAAGAACATCAATAGTGCACTTCTCAGCAAAATCAGCAATTGCATTAAAAAAAAAAGAATTACGAGGATAGTCCACCTGTACGTCAATGTAATACGATTTAAAGCGGATATGTCATCATTTGGATGAATTCATTAGCTCACCCTGATGCCCTTAACCATTTTTGGACCCTGTGACTGTCTTTTCTTACAATTTTTGAAGGATTGCAGACCCTCTGGGTCTTTTTTTTTTTTTTACGTGCAGCTATCTTCAAGTATTAGAAATGGCGGTTCCTGAAAATGGTAATTTCTGCCCATACCTGAATGTGCATGTCAAATCAGTGTACCTCAGTTAAAACTCACGATAACGGACTGAGCAGCAAGAAAGATGTGCTTGAGCACAGCTCCACCAAAGAAACTGAAAAAAGCTCACTAAAACCTTTAAAATGCTCCAAAAACCAATGCGCAACAACAACCCCAACCCAGCCGACATAATGGGGCGCAAAAACAAAAAACTCCACATACTGGAGACCTGAAAACTGCCTGATATCAGGCTCTCGTTTGACAGGGCGAACCTGCGGGTCGTTCCCAAGATGGCGCCTGCAGAGTTGAGTGAGAATGAGGCCTCTGAGGCATCACAAGAGGCAGAGAAACCCACTGGGACAACCCCAGCAAGCTGTACCAACAGTGAGTCAGGATCCGACGATGACTCCTCGCCAGCAACGAAGAGAGCCATAAAGGATTTTCTGCTGGAAATGAGACAGGTGTGGAGGGCAGACCTGCGTGCAACTCAAGCTGAGCTGGGGACCCTGTGACCCTGTGTCCAGAGATGGAGCCAGAGAACAAAGGCCGCAGACCACTCAGAAGGAGATCCACAACCTCACCCAACAAGTCCAGACACTTACCAGAAGTGTGACGATGTTGTAGCCAAGGCACAGAAGAAAGAACATCCACCTTCGAGGAGTGCCAGAACAGATCTTGAGTGATGATCTCCTGTCCTTCCTTCACCACTTACTGAACCACATAGGAGCCAAGAGAGGTGCTGACCCGGAGATGGTGATCGCGTAGTTCTGAATCCGCAAGGCCACAGCTGCCCCAGAGGATGCATCTAGAGACATTATAGCAGTCACCAAGGACATTGCGGCTAGGTCCACCATAATGTCCCGCTCTAGGGAGCTTAAAAATGTTCGATTTGAGGGCTGCACTGTAGCTATATATGGGGATCTCCCGTTTGCAGTGCTAATGGCAAAAAGGCACCTAGCACCAGTTGCAAAATGACTGCGGGAGGCAGACATCAAATATATATGTGGGGAGCAGAGGGATCCTTAGTGGCCCAACAGAAAGGGGAAACAGTCACGTTACCGCCCTATGGAGATCAGACAACGTTTCTCCAGATCCTACAGGTGTCTGTAGCGGACCCAGAACAGGCTCTGGGGAACTGGGGCCCTCACACTACCCTCCCCATGGCTACGAATACCAGGGGGTTCCAGGGAGGCTTGCCGACCGATCACTGTCACAAAGATCGCCCTGACAGGGGAGCATAGAACCGCACATAACCAGATAACACACATTTGTTACACTTCCCTGCAGCTTAAGATCAGTGTATGATTAAATGTTCTGTACATAGATTATCTTTTGAATCTGGTTCGCTGATGGGCACTTGTTTCAGCCACGTACAACCACCAAGTAGTAGAACCTATTAGAGAGGGAGGTGCCAAGCCAGGAGCAGCTTAAGCATACACTAGCCTATGGCGCAAGTCTCCACAGGTATCTTCACTAAAACAACCCCAAACACTGTAATAAAAAGATGTAATGCTATGTGAATAGACTGGAAAAAGAAATTGCTGAACTATTGTCTTTACCACCCTCTCAATCTCATACTGCAATACACTTGTGTTTTGTGTGTGAAAACTCAATAAAATACAAATTGAAAAAAGAAAAAAAAGAAAACTTGCGATAACGCCACTACAGGACATGACATGGCACTGGAGGGAGGCGAGTACACAGATCCAGGGCCAATGACAAAAGTGACAAAGGCCGTAGAGCTTGACAAAACTTTTATTAACCTGTTAGTTCTACATAAGGAAAAGTAAAGAAAAAAAAAAAGTTTTAAAAATCCTAAATCATGCGTTCAATCCTAAATCATTGGAGCCAAATTGTGAGATTGTGGCCGAATTTGCGTTTGCAGCCTAGTCGCGAACATCATGGCAAACGTTGAAGTCATGGCGAAATTGCAAAATAGTGGCGTAACTACGAGATGAATGTTGCCTCCATATGCAATAATGTGGCAAGACAGAGGGTAGCCTCTCCAGCAAAGGGGACAAAGGAGAATGCACCAGTAATAAGAAAATGCGGTAATAAACCACAAAGGCGTATAAGGGAAACAGGCAATATAAAAGAAAGAACAGGGAACAAAGGGGTCTAAAAGCTACAAACCTATATCATATAGTATAGTTAGGAGCAATAAAGCAAAAAGGCATATAATAATAAGCAGTGATATGACTAATAGCATAAGTATGAGGCAATAAATAATCAAAGACCAGAGAGGTATGAGGTATTATTAAGTCTATAGGAGCAGCAAAGAAAGAGGAAATGTTGGAGAGTGTCCTGAGGTTTTATAGGATGGAAACCTATAGTCATAATGGAAGGGGTATGTGAAACACTGTGTTCATTATATTCATTTGAATTTTTACTGTTGTGGGAATAAATGGAGATTTAAATGCACATTATGAGTCTCCGTGTCTTGTAATGAAAGTACTACTTTATATAATGTAGTGGTCCGATGTGCAGTTACCAGGGTCAATTAAACTAAATGTGGACAGGGTGACCAAGACCTTGATTTGTAGCAAATTATTTTTTTTCTCTATGAAAAATATGATTTCAATTAGGTTATGTGCCTACTCCCATACTTTTGTTGCCAAGTTCTAACCCTAGCCAGCGGTTTGCATATATTATACTATGCTGCAAGATTGTTTCAACTTTATCAACTCTGAAAATTATCTTGTTCATTAAAAGGACACTCTGCATACACCCTGGGCATTCACTCAACCAAAGTGCATTTGATACATTATGACCTGATATTCATTCTGTATTTTTCTACACATTTAAATCTCTCTTTGCAGTATAACTCAGCCCCCTTGGCTACACCCAGGGCCAGTCTGCATTTGCCTCAATGGGGTCATGGTTTCATGCAGCATTTTGCCACCACTGTACAGGGCCCGGGCCATGATCAGCTATTCCATAAGGCGGGGCACTGGATCCAGCTCACTGTCAGGAGCACTTCCCTCCTGTCGGTCTCAACATGGACCAGGGTAGAGGAACTTGTCTTCCTCTCCCGAGTCTGACAGAAAGCGGTAATAGAGAGCGCTAAACTGCTTCTTGTCAGACCCAGCAGAGGGTCCTCTACCTCGGCTACACTACATGAGAGAAAGAGGTAAGCTGGCATTGGGGAGGGAGGGAAGGCAGAAACAGACAAGGGCTGGTGGGGCAGAAACAGACAGGGGCTGAGGTGGGCAAAAATAGACAAGGGCTAGGGGGAGACACCCAGCTTTTCATTCTTGGATCCAGGCAGCACAATGTCTTGGGCTGGCTCCAGCTACACCCCCTCTTTTCACAAAGCAACTTCCTTATTTGACATACTTTGAGTACCTTTTAAAAAAAAAAAAATATATAGAATAATAGAGAGAAAAAAAAATTTGCATACCAAAAATAGTTGTTAGTGTCATTTGTTTGACAAATATTTGATGATAACTTGTGGTGTAGGGTGTGTATAATGTATTCATTTGTTGTCACTTGTTCATCCTCACCTTGTAGGGCCCAGTATAACAAGTGCCTTCCTGGCATTAACGAAGATGCTACTCAGCAGCCCTATGCCAGTGTACCTGACTCCTGCGGCATGTTGACGGATGCCGGCCACTGCGGATCCATTCCAATTTATAACCCCACGTCCGCTCACGGTGATGACAACGTCGACGTGAGCATGACATCACGCAAATAACGCAGACACACGTTCTGGGGTCAAAGGCAGGTTACGGCCAATCAGATTCACAAGAGGGTTATTTAAACTCACCTATTCCTTCTGCTCATTGACCTGTCGTGGTTTCACTTAGCGGTTGTCCGAGAGTGTGTTACTGAGCATTTATTTTCTGGTTTTGAATTTGGCTTCGTTTTGACTTCCCTGTATTCTGGTATCCTTGACTTTTGGCTTTCCCTCAGCGTTGTGTCTCATTCTGTGTTCCCGACCTCGGCAAATATTCTGACTATTCTTTGGTACGTTAAGTCCGGCCATTTTAAGGCCCAGTAAGACGTTACCTTTTAGTATAGGTGTGATTCAGTTCTGTGTGCTGGATCAACTAGTAATCCTGAAAGTTGTTAGTTATTTTCTTCACTCTTCTCCTGTTTTACTGTTTTTCCAGCAGTGCGTAGTCCCATTGTTCCAGAGACACGTCCAGACCAGTTCAAAGTGGCTGCCATGCTTCCTAAATCTCCCACGTGGCCCTATGTGTTTTCTCCACTGTCACTGGTAGAATTCTACTGGTTATAGTTGCTTTATTTTGCAAATCTTATATGTTACGCACAAAAAAAAGAAAATTGCAACAAGTACTAGCTTTATTGGTAATATGTATCTTTCAAGTTAAGCACACATATAGGTAAATAATTGCAGTGTAATATAAATACATTTTGCGGTTTTGAAAGGATGCTATATCCTTATTCATTACAATTACCATGGAATATATAAACTACGTTTTCACTATTTCCTAGCAACATCACTTGATAAAGTCCAGTAAGTCTGAAAAAAATAGGCAAACCCTAATTATTCCTGATCAATCCTATTGACTTCAATGGATACTTTATCACTCTAGTTGACTACCTTAATGAAGTGAATTCGGCAGTATGGTTTCAAAATTGTGTTGATTAAAGGGACACTCCAGATCCTTAAAGAACTTCAGCTGGGTTTTTTTCCCCACTTCATTTTATGAAGAGTGCAGATTTAAATATAGACTATCTTTACTTATTAGGACATGCTCTTTGGCTGTTTTTGGCAACTGGTGGAGTGTAAAAGAACATTTCCCATTGAAAATGTTTTTTTTTTTTTTTAAACCAACTTTTTAGATAAACCCTCCCCACCCCCCAAAAAAAAAAAAAAAAAACATTCATGGATTAATTTTGTTAGATTTGTTTGTGTGTATATGAAATAAACAGCTTGCAAAAGGTGCAGACCTGCAAAGGGTCCATACAATTTGCCATGGCGAGTGAGTACATACAGGTCTATAGATAAGTGTGTAATGTTCCAAAGATGGGTTTGAAGGGCTCCAAAAAAGTACTATATGTGGCATATTATTTCATGTCAGTTACACAGGATATAATAAAGTAACAGTGGTTTTATAAATGCAAGCTATAGATAAATGTATTTGTGTAACTATTTTTACATTTCAATTTCTTTAAGTCATTGAAGAGACACTGTCACTTTTCAGATTTTGATTTAAATTAATCCTTTTTGTTCCTTTATTTCAACTTGTTTGTTTTTTTAAATGTACCTTAATTTTTTTTAGTTATACATAGTTTTTTCTGCATGTTTTTTTTGTAGTTATATGAAAAAAAAGTTGCAAAACCTGAAAACCTGCAAAGTGTCTATAAGATTTGCAACATCATGGACAGAAGAGAACAGATTGGTGACAACAAGGTATTGAAATCTGATGCAATGTAGAAAACCATAAATAAAGGCAAGTGGTGGTGGGACTAACCATTAATATAAAGGGGAACAAGAAAGGAATAATAGGGTGAAATGCCTTTTTAAGTGTGTTCTATAAAAAAAAAAAAAAATAGGCCCACAAATAAACATTTTACTAACATAATTTTTTCCCTCATATGTAAAGACTGTAATGCATAAAATACTTTTTTTTGTTGTTTGTACAATTGAGGTTTATTCACTGAACTCTCAATTCTGCCAATCTGTGTCTAGAGCAAGGTAGGAGATTTATTTTCCAAATCAGCTCTTTTGGTTTGAATAGTGAATTTCAATATACTACAATTTGGGGTTTAGTAAATAAACACAATACTATCATCTATCTTTTGTGAATCCACTGATGTTTAACAAAGCCTAATTTGGAACTAAATGCTTTGCTACATTCAGGACATGAGTATGGTTTCTCTCCTGTGTGAATCCTCTGATGCTGAACAAGATTTGATTTATCATGAAAACATTTTCCACATTCAGCACATGAAAACTGTTTTCTTCCTGTGTGAATTCTCCTATGTATAATAAGAACTGATTTATTTGAGAAGCATTTTCCACATTCTAAACATGCGAACGGTCTCTCTCCTGTGTGAATTCTGGAATGCGTCACAAGATTTCCATTACTTGAAAAACATTTTCCACATTCAGAACATGAGAATGGTTTCTCTCCTTTGTGAATCTTCTGATGTGTAATAAGGTTTGCACTACTGGAAAAATATTTCCCGCATTGATTACATAAATATGGTTTTTCTCCTGTGTGTGTTCTCTGATGTGTAACAAGATATGACTTGGTTGCAAAACATTTCCCGCATTGTGAACATGAGAAATGTTTCTCTCCCGTGTGAATTTTTTGATGTGTTGCAAGATTAGATTTACTTGAAAAACTTTTTTCACATTCAGAGCATGAGAATGGCTTTTCTCCTGTGTGAATCCTCAAATGTTTAACAAGTTCAGATTTTCTCAAAAAACATTTCCCGCATTCAGAACACGAGAAGGGTTTCTCTCCTGTGTGAATCTTTTGATGTGAAACAAGTTCTGTTTTCCTTGAAAAAGACTTCCCACAATCAGAACAAAAGAATGGTTTCTCTCCGGTGTGAATCTTGTGATGGGTAATTAGATTTGATTTAGTGGTAAAACACTGCCCACATTCAGAGCATGAAAATGGTTTCTCCCCTGTGTGAATCCGTTGATGTGTAATAAGATTTGAGTTACATGTAAATCCTTTTCCACAGTCAGAACATACAAATAGCTTTTCCCCTGAGTAAGACTTCCGATTTCTAACAAGTTGTGAAGTACTAGAAAAATTGTCTTTAAAATCAGTGCAAGACGAAGGTTTTTTCCCTCTCTTCTGCCTTCTCAAAGGTTTCTTAGAAAACGGTTTTCCACATTTAGGACAAATCAAAGTCTTTCCTTTGCGAACCCTCTGGTTTTGAACAAGCTTAGAATAATTATTACACATCTGGCATTCAGAGTCGCCATGCAGCTTCTCTGAGCTGTGTTTCATTTGATGAGCATGATAACTGGATTCACTATTGAATGCCTCACCACATTCACTGCACTTTATTTCCACTAATTTCTTATATGTTCTCTGCTTAGAGTGGTTCCTTTTTCCATCCCTTGCAATATCATTAGATGTATATTCGGTTTCTGTGACAGTGTCTTCTCTGCAGAAGGCTGGCTCCTCCTTAATCTGAATTGATGTATAGTCTATGTCTGCATATACCGGTATAGAAATGTCAGTGTCTATAAATGTTCCATTTTCATCAGCAAGAGATTCCTCCTTAATTGCAGTGTCTAATACTTTACCGTTTTCATCAGCACTGAATTCCTCCTTAATGTCAGTAGGTGTATATACTTTCTGTGTATGTTCTGTGGAGGTATACATGTCAATGCCTGCGAGTATCCCATTTTCATCATCACCAGGTTCCTCTTTCATGTGCACAGAAGTATATTCTGTCTGTGTGTGTTCTTTGGTTATACATAAGCCAGAATTTGTAATATTAGTTTCTTCACATGAGACTGGGTCATCCTTAAGGGAAGCAAATATATATTCTGCTTGTATAGAATCTTCACTTAAGGCAGATTCCTCCTTTATATAAGTAGAATTAAGTTTTGTGGCTGTACAAATGTCAGTGTCTATGCTTATTTGTCCTTCACACAAGACTGATTCCATCTTAATATGAGTAGATAAATATTCCGCTGGTGTGTAATGTCTTGTAGCTGAGATATTTTTGTCATTATTTGAGAAAAATTCCTCCTGTATGTAAGCAGATTTGTGTTCTCTGGGTGTATAGATGTTAGTGTCTGTGATAAGATGTTCTTCATATGAGGCGGATTCCTCCCTTATATGCGTAGATGTACAATCTGTTTGTGAATATTCCAAAGGTATACACATGTTAACACCTATGAAATTTCCTAATTGATGTAAAGCTGACTCTTCTTTAATTGAATATGTATATTCTGGCTTATGACCAGAGTTTGTATATATGCCAGTGAGATTTACTTCATGATCCGAGTCTGATTCCGTCTTAATAGGAGTAGAAAGAGGTCTCATTGCATGTTGTTTAGGACCATTAATGTGGGAGCCTGTGAGATTCCCTGCTTCACAAAAGTGTGATTCCTCTCTAGTATTTTGCACAAGTTTGCTCTGTGGCTTTCTTAGTTTGTGAACTGTTTTGCAACATTCTGTAAAACTTGTTTCCATGTTCCTTGTACCTTTGGTAACACAATCTTCAGAAAAGATGGAGGCATCAGATACTTCAGGGCTATGTCTGCAGAATATCTGGTGGAAAGAAATACATTGTTATTTACGCTTAAGATTAACGATATTCAACTACCGCATATGCTCGTCTATAAGTCGATCTAGTGTATAAGTCGAGTGCAGTTTTTGACCAACAATTGCAAAATATGCTATGACTCATGGATAAGTCAAGGGTACGACTTTCAAATGGAATTGTTCCCCTTCTATTCGGTTACCGAACAAACTCTGTGTGGTCCCCCTTGTTAACACCTCGTAATCACCGACCACCCCTAGCTGTTAACTGCAAACACGCATTCCCTGGGTAGCTGCCATTCCTTTATACGAACGCACGTGTTCGTCTCCCGAACACAGGCAACGGTACATGGTCGTCGACATTGCCTCGCATTCAACTGGCGAACATCGTACAAAATTCTAGCGAAACTAGCAATGACCCATGGATAAGTAGACTCTGCGTTTTAAAATTAGGTTTAGGACTAAAATCTCTCGACTTATACACGAGTATATACAGTACATTCTAATTATGATGGAAAAAACTGCTATACATGAACATGAAGATTTCTATGGAACAGAAAGAGCAGAGCAGTCACCCAATAGTAGTACCCTCACATTATATATCCATCTGTTAGTTAATTACACAGTCATTCCTATCGGTGCATAAAAAGAAACGTCACAACTTCCTCTAGGAAGAAAAGTCACACTACCATCAACAAACAACTATACACTTTGAAAACATGTATTAACTGACATTTATATATTGACCAGATCATTTACATTTGAGGGCATTACACAAAATGCGGGAAAAAAAGCAGACTTAAGTCAGTGAGTCATTAAGATATAAACCATGACATGTAAAGATTGAAACCACTGTACATAATATTGTGCCATTCCATGTATATTTAGTGTTTTAATGTTGTCACATGCCGCTCTACTTCTTTAAGAAGAAAATTCATTTTCAGACATCAATACGGATATCAGCAAAAATAATTTTAGCGTTCGGGATCCTTTTTTCTGTGACTTATCTTCCTGTGATTTTATTTTTTCCTGGATTCACCCCATCACATTTACCCGTTAATCACCAACATAGTACCAATATCCCATAGAGCACTCACATGTTCTTTTGGATTAACAGCAGAAACACATAGATAGATTAAACTTGAGGGACTGGAGTCTTTTTTTTTTTTTTCAGCCTATATAACATCACATTTTTTTTAAAGTAAAACTCTAAACCCCATAACTACTACAGTGCGCCGCTTACTGCCTCCACTACCAGCGATAAAGAGCCTGATGCTTTCTGTATGAGATAACCCTTGCAGTGCAGGCAGGCAGACAATCAATCAATCTCAATAAAATGAAAAGGATACTGCTTCTACATTAGGACTTACAGCAAGCTGGGGCCATGCCAAAGGTGCTGCGAGAGCCCCTAGTTTTCAGTCACACTGTGAAAATCATTTGACTGCAAACTGGGCAGCACCCATTGTCTAACAATACCACAGAAGCTACATAAGCATGTAGTGGTCATACCACTTAGATACATAACTTTTTTTTTTTTTTTTTTTTTTTAGGAGACTTAGGCTTTCAGTACTGTGTATGATATTTGTAACCTCTTTCTTGGAGAAAGAACTTGTGATCCGCCACTAAAGCTTTGTTATAGTTAAGTGCCAAATATTCATCATGGAATCCAGAGCCAGAAAAGAGTGATAAAAAAAAATAAAAAAAAATATACATACATACATACATACACACACACACACACACACACACACACTGCAAGAATGTTAAGAGGATGCATATGAGCTCTGACAGCTGGTATGGTTTAAGTCAGAAGACCTAGGATACTTATAGCTTTTTAATGCTGCATTCTTTCCACTAAGAAAAAAAAAGCAGGCTTCTTATTTTGCTCTTTCTTTTGTCTTCTGGCAAGAGGACCTTCATTTGGAATGAAGACAATATTTGAATCCCCCAAAAAAGATATTGAAGTTGGGAAAAGTTGAGAGGTGTTTCATTTTATTAATTAGCTTTGCACCATGAAGAAGCAACGGTTTTGATGTAAACAGCACAAAGGAAATGGCTCAGAAAATAAAATTATAGGAATCTGTTTTCCTGGTCAATTAAAATGTGTTGTCTGCCATATGCTTTATAACTTAAACTCCAGGGAGAAACCAAATAGTCTACTTTGTTCCAATGGCAACTCACAGAGTGATTATTTGGATGGAGCATCCACTGTCTACAATGCAAGCGAGACCACACTTCTTGCTTCCGTTGCTAATCCCATAGCTCTGACTGATAACCATAAGGCTTCAAATGATGCATCATAAAGAAAATCTGCAGCTAGCTTGATTTTTGTAAGAGCTTTAAGAGCACTTCACCTGACTAGTTACAATGAACGTTTTCCCAATGTCTCCAACCACATTATTTGAGCCCTGCCTTTCTGGAGCTGCTAATGCATAAAAAGCTCTTCTCGGGGATGTTTCAGATTTCCTATACATAGATTCTTTCAGGCTAGATGTCTCTCCAATAACATGTTGTCACGATTCGGGACCCTAACATGCTAACAGGTCACAGAGAGGAATGGTGCTATTCCGGTCCTTAGAATGGCCGGGTTACGCACACTAAGAATAGTCAGGAGACAAGCCAAGTAAAGGGAGCCAGAAAACAGCAGAGCGAGAAACAAGCCGAGGTCAAAGGAATGGAGAAATCAGAAAAATCGGAATAAGCCAAATAATCGGTAACCAGCGAGAAACACGAGCAAACTGCACTACAGGTAACACAAGACCACAACAGGGCACTGAGAGACAGAAAAGGTAAGTATAAAAACCCTGTGCTTAATTCTGATTGGATAACTTCCAATCAGAATTAACAAACACACAAGGGGGATATTTATACCTCCCACTGTGAATAAGGTACTGTGTCTTTAATGCCGGGTCACGTGACTGACACCGGCGTTCACATAAGTGCGCGGGCTCCCAGCATGCAGCGTTATACATGCTGGTGCTGGGAGGCGAGGAGGAGGACTGGACTCGCCGACAGGCAGGGGAGACCGCGGGCGGCGAAGGACTGAGGGTAAGTACCCGCGGGGCCATGAAACACGTGTGTTATCTTTTTGCCAAGCTGAGCTGATAGGTGTATCTACCCGAGGAAGATCATCTAGAGGTTTATCTTCATCTTTAACAGAAAATAGATGCTTAAAAATGTTTGTCTTCCATTAGCTGGACAAGAGCTGTTTAAAGGGGGGGGGGGGATGAAAAGAAAACATTTTGTCTCTTGTGTCTGTCTGAGCAGTCTCCTTCTGCCTCCATAGCATAGGAGATCTCTTTGATTAGATTATCTATGTTCCTATCATGAAAATTCGATAGATCATCAGAGAAATCTTTTGAATTTGGAGTTGAAAGAAATAAAATATATATATTCCTCTCCTGAGTCTGAAAATTATCTCAGCCTTTTCTTCCCTTAAAATGAATGCCCCTTTAACTCTTGAGGAGAAAGGATAGATGGTAATGATAGCTGTTTTACATACAGGAAGGTTTTTGTAAGCGGTTCTGGAAACAGGAGAGGAAAGATAATATTTCTAATTTTTTTTAGCATCCTCAGAAGATTCCTTGGAAAAAATAATTACATAGTTTTCTCTTTGAAAAATCTAGTAACAGAATATTGTAGGTAGCACAGCACTAGCGTTTAGTTTTAGCTACTGCTTTAATCTTGCATTTTCTCAGGAGATTCTGTTGGATTAGACATCCTGAAAAGGAAAAAGATAAAAAGCTAACTAAAGTCATAAGGAGAAAAGAGGAAACATTTAAAAGCAACAAGACAGAAAGTCCTACCTTAAATCCTCCTCTAGTATGCTTAGGGCACTGATGTAGCACACATCAGCTGAAGAGACTCTCGCCCGGTGGTCTGTTCTGCTGTACTGTGCCCTTAAACCAATCAACATGTCATTTCTGGCACCAAGAGTCGCAATTGCTTAATTCGTGCTCACAGTAGAACGCATTGAAACATGTGCACGCATTCCACCTCTCTTTCTCAGTACACACGTCTTTGCGATGTACAGGCACCATTTCCTGCACCCGAAAAGAACTAGGCAAATGAAGAAGGAAGCAGCACCAAGCCTGCAGACCCTGGAGGAGGATGCCAATGCAGCGAACCCCCATATATGCGGCTACCATTCGGTGATAGCACCCTGAAGTAAAGTCCATACACATCTACTTGCTGCCCCTTAATATAAAATGTGAGTCCCTGCCTCCTCTGTCCTCATGAAGGACAGGCAGATCATAGGGAAAGCTTGTTGGCATTAAGTTTTATATGCTATGGGTTCTGTATCTAAAATTATAGATCCTGCCTGTCCTTTGCAGGAGAACATCTTTAAAATACTTTTGTCTTACTGCCACTATATATGGAATATATATATAAATAACGGATTATTTCCCTACCTTTTAAATGCTGCCAATTAAACATAGAAAATATGTCTTGTGGAGATGCTTGGAGGCCAGCCTCCTTCCCAAAGACTATGGATCCTCTGTTATGGCTAAAACCAGACTATGGCTAACCATGGGACTTTTGATATGGTGTGTTTGGACTGAAGTTAAATGTATTGAGTATCCATTTTGTGTGCTTCCTTTCTCCCCCATGCCTACCTCATTGTTTTTCTAGCCAGGCATTGTCCCGTTGTTACAGGAGTAGGTTCCACACCCGTTCAAACTGGCTGCCATACCACTACCTGAAGTCTCCAATGTATATCACAGTCCTCATCATTGTGCTCACTGTACATACAAAAGGCATATATAAAAACCCTCTGTGTGTGTCTCAATAATGTAGCACTGTAACCCACTATTATCTGGCTGATATTTGTGGAGGATCTTCTTCTGAATCTCTTTCACTCTCTCTGGAAGATCCTTGGCACTACTATTATTATTATTGTCATTTATATAGCGCCAACAGATTACAAAGTGCTTTACAATATTATAAGAGTGGGGATTTAACTATAAATAGGACAATTACAAGAAAACTTACAGGAACGATAGGTTGAAGAGGACCATGTTCAAACGAGCTTACAGTCTACAGGAGGTGGGGTGTTAAACACAATAGGACCAGAAATACAATCAAATAAGGTGGGAGTGAAGCAGAGCTGGAGGAGAGAGTAGAGTGCTGCCCTTTAGGATAGAGCAAGGGACAGGTATGTGAGGTAGAGGTTACTCTGGGAGACAATAAGCTTACCTAAAAGAGCTGTGTTTCAAGGCACTTGTTAATCTATTGAAGACTAGAGGAGAGTCTGATAGCAGTAGGCAGGCTATTCCATAGGAGGGAGCCGCCCGCGAGAAGTCCTGCAAGCATAAGTTGGCCGTACGCATGCGAGTTTAGGACAGGAGAAGGTCACGGGCAAAGCGGAGAGACAGAGAAGGGGCATACCTATGAATCCGTGAAGAGATATAAGAGGGGCTAGAATTGGTCAATGCTTTATAGGTATGGGTTAGCACTTTGAATTGACTTCTATAGGATACAGGAAGCCAATGTAAGGACTGACAAAGGGGTGAGGTGTGAGAGGACCGACTAGAGAAGAAAATCAGTCTGGTGGCAGAATTCATTACTGTAGTGGGGCAATACGGTTTTTGGGAAGACCAATTAGAAGAAGGTTACAATAATCCATGTGGGAAATTACTAGAGAATGGACAAGCTCCTTAGTAACATCTTGCATAAGAAAGGGGTGGATGCGGGCTATGTGAGGCCAGAATCAAGTATGACACCAAGACAGCGCGCGCTTGCAAGGATGGACTGATGTGGATACCACTAACTTAAAGGGAGAGCGAAAGAGGAGGAAAGACAAGGAGCTCAGTGTGATGAAGTGCCCTTCGCCACTTGGTCCTGGAGAGGCCTGCTTGTCAGCCTCTTACCATGGGACTATGGCCCCTGGGAGATTGTGCCCTTTAACACCAACATTTAGGCATATTGTTTTTTATTGGACCGTGCTGGCCCTTTAAGAACCATCTTGTGACTTTTGGGAACAATTCTCCTTTAAGACAGTGTCCCCAGACTTGGTTAAAGTACTTTATTCATGGCTTCTTTACACTTGGTTCAGTAAATGGAGCTTACTGAACCAAGTACAACACAGGCGGACCACCCAGAAGTGGAAGTGTGCAGGCAATTTAACTCCCAGGCTGGGAGCCTGCTGTAGGTAAATTGCCGATCGCTGGGTGGCCGCAGCCATCTTTGTCCATTCGAACGAGGTCAGCGGTGTGTGTAGTCAAATCTGTGGACTGAAATCGGCTACACATTTTCACGAACACCACTGACCCTTACCTTCTCCTACACTCAGTTTTTAGCTACAGAGACTAAGTCCCGTTCGGCAGTTTGAACTCACTGCTATACTGAGCGAATTGCACGAACGGCCCCGTTCGTGCATTCGAATGGGACTTAATCATTTTTCTGCCTGAAATAGACCGACCGCACAGCCTAAATCTATGGAACTGTTTTGGGCAGGAAAATGTGCTTGTGGTCGGTCATAAAGGACTTCCGTCTAACTTTATCTAGTGGATGGATTTGTATGATTTATAAAAGTGTTTATATTTAAAGTGTGCTGATTCTGAAAATGTATGTTTCATGAAGATTGGATGTATATTTTTAAAGTTACAGTGTATGTATAAAAAGTGTATTTTTCCTGCCTGTGATAATTACTTTAACCCATTGTGTTCAGTAATTATATCACAGGCAGACCGGAGGATTTGTGTGTTATTGATGGGTGTCTTTTTACTGTATGTTACGTGTTTATTGGTTGTTCTGCAAAACCCTGTGGGTGGTCCTGTATGTGTAAGGCCTTCATAAAAGAAGACCCTTTGGTGCCAATTAAACAGAACTACTTGACCCTTTCTTGAAGCCTAACTACACTCTTGGGGATTGCTATATCACACTACTCCCCTGAGTATAAGCTCTTGTAAGAGCTTGTTCCTGCTCTCTAGATATAGGAGAGGTCTACCCCCTGGAAGCTGGATCCTGGCCTTGGGTCCAGGGTCGGTGAAAGACAGCAAGACCCCGGCGCAGCTGCATCGCTGGAAGTGGGGTCTGCAGTGATTATGGTGTCGGTTGGAGTGTTTTGAGTTCTCAGCACGCACCAGGAGCATCAATTGGCGGTGGTACTCGGTCGGAGTGCCAGCGGTCCGTCACACTCAGTTTTAGAGAGATTTAGTTTCAGAAAACGGGAGGACATCCAGTCAGAGATGGAAGAAAGGCAAGCAGTGACACGTTGCAGGACGACAGGGTAGAGGTCCAGGGAGGAGAGATATATATGGCTGTCATCAGCGTACAGGTAGTAGTGGAATCCAAATGGGGTAATTAGTTTGCCAAGAGAGGCAGTATAAAGAGAAAATAGAAGGAGACCAATGACATAGCCTTGGGAGACTCCAACCGAAACAGGATGAAGGGAGGAGGTATCATTAGAAAAGGAGACACTGAATGAGTGTTGGGAGAGATAAGAGGAAAACCCCGAGAGGACAGAGTCACAGAGACCGAGTTACTGAAGAGTTTGAAGAAGTAGAGCATGATCAACGGTGTCAAAGGCAGCAGAGAGGTCAAGAAGAATTAGTATGGAGTAGTGGCCTATTAATCCGGTAGTGCTGGAATATAATGCTGCTATATTTCCCCTTAGGAGAAGGGACAAATGCTGGGCATGATAGGTCTGATTGCAAACCCTGAGACCAGTCCCACTGCTTCCGCTATATATAAAACGAAATAAAAATTTAGTTATTTGAAGAGATTACATTTTTTCTTCACGATACCAGCAGAACTCCTCACCAGCAGATAACATCTAGCCAACTCCCGAGGCAGAGGCTCACAACCTCCTATGGGCGCCACAAGAGCAAACCCAGAGCCATGTTACAGTGCCCGATTGTGCCCGGCTAGCACAATGGTGAAAAGTATGTAAAATGCCTTCTTCCCAGAGCAAGAAGGAAGCTATGCAGGATGTCAAGGAAAGCCAAGCAATGCTTGCAGCCCCGCTGGACTACAGGGAAGCCACCCTCCACCAGACGCGAAGGTAGGTAAAACCAGAGCCAGAGATATAGATTATATATATATATATATATATGTATATGTATATGTGTGTGCTAGGTATTATAGATGAATGTCAGTGTGTATTTGTATCTATGTGTATGGCATAGTGCAGCTTAGTCTGGCAGTGTGTGTATAAGTGTAGCTGTGTGTGTATAGGTGTAGCAGTGTGTGTAGGGGGGCCCTGGCCAATAGTTTTCAAGGAAGAGTTCTGGTGGCAGCCGTGAACACACCACCATACCTGAATGAAAGCAAGAAGAAATCACAATACAGCTGGCCTACAAAACAGTCCATTATGATCACCTCAAACCAGCTATTAAATATGGGCAGCTCTTCACAAACATCACAAACACAATCCCCATTAGCAGCTTAACAGAACAACTATCACCTCACCAGACCATATCACTGCCACCATCACCACTGCCATCACAAACACACCTCCCCATTAGCAGCTTCAAAGAACAACTACCACCACACCAGAACATCTCACTGCCACCATAACCACTGCCACACTGCTCTCCGCCCCTCTCTAGACCATGTCACTGTTACCAATATCTGGCCATGTAACCCCCTCCCCCAGTCAGAGCTCCCATATCACGGGATAACCTGCCAGTAACCCCCTCCCCCAGTCAGAGCCCCCCCTATCTCTGGATAGCCTGCCAGTAACCCCCTCCCCAGTCAGAGCCCCCTATCTCTGGATAGCCTGCCAGTAACCCCACTCCCCAGTCAGGCCCCTATCTCTGGATATCCTGCCAGTAACCCCCCTCCCAGTCAAGGCCCCCTATCTCTGGATATCCTGCCGGTAACCCTCCCCAGTCAGAGCCCCCCTATCTCTGGATATCCTGCCAGTAACCCCCTCCCCCAGTCCAAGGCCCCTATCTCTGGATATCCTGCCAGTAGCCCCTCCCCAGTCAGGCCCCTATCTCTGGATATCCTGCCAGTAGCCCCCTCCCAGTCAGAGCCCCCTATCTCTGGATATCCTGCAGTAACCCCCTCCCCAGTCAGAGCCCTATCTCTGGATATCCTGCCAGTAACCTCCCCAGTCAGAGCCCCTATCTCTTGGATAGCCTGCCAGTAGCCCCTCCCCAGTCAGAGCCCCCTATCTCTGGATAGCCTGCCAGTAACCCCCTCCCCCGGTCAGAGCCTATCTCTGGATAGCCTGCCAGTAACCCCCTCCCCGGTCAGAGCCCCCTATCTCTGGATAGCCTGCGGTAACCCCCTCCCAGTCAGAGCCCCCTATCTCTGGATATCCTGCCAGTAACCCCCTCCCCCGGTCAGAGCCCTATCTGGATAGCCTGCCAGTAACCCCCCCCTCCCCCAGTCAGGCCCCCTATCTCTGGATATCCTTCAGTAACCCCCTCCCCAGTCAGAGCCCCCTCTCTGGATAGCCTGCCAGTAACCCCCTCCCAGTCAGAGCCCCCTATCTCTCTGGATAGCCTGCCGAGCCCCTCCCCAGTCAGAGCCCCCTATCTCTGGATATCCTTCCGGTAACCCCCTCCCCAGTCAGAGCCCCTATCTCTGGATAGCCTGCCAGTAACCCCCTCCCCCCAGTCAGAGCCCCCCTATCTCTGGATAGCCTGCCAGTAACCCCCTCCAGCCGGGCAGGGCTGTCCATCCCCGGGCAGGGCTGCTGTTTGTTCCCTCCAGGAGGTATCACTGCCCACACATACCTGGCTGGATACCCGGGCTGGGCTGCTAGATGCGCTCCCCGTGTCACACTGAGCTCTGTGACGGTCACACTGAGCCCATGTCCTCGGTGAGCACTGTCCCGCCTCTGGGAATAATAATAATAAGAATAATAATGAGAGGTTTGCCCGAACCAATCATGGACGGCTAATACTTCCCTTCAGTGACACGCACCAGCCACGCCCCCATCTCCATGGTAACGCAGCATTCCGCACATGCGCATTGTTTGGCTCGGCGTGTTGCACAGGTGAGGGCAGCAGAGCCAGCCAATCAGACGGCTCTTCTCAACGCGAGCTCCATTCCCTGGATACCGGGGTTAGTGACGTAATTTCCGGCGCACAGAGCTGCCATTACTATGCTGAGAGTGTGTCTGTTGGGAGCAGGGAGCCATTAGTGGAGACACTGTGTCCGAACCGCGGGAGAGGGACAGCCTGCCCGGTATGTGGGGAGAGGGGCTGAGTGACATGCTGGGAGAGGGGCTGAGTGCTGGCTGCTAACACACCGTGCAGTCATTGGCTGGCTGGCTGTAGGATGTCCTATAGTCCTGGCTGGCTGGCTGCTAACACACCCTATAGTCCTGACTGGATGGCTGTAGGATGTCCTATAGTCCTGGCTGGCTGGCTGTAGGATGTCCTATAGTCCTGGCTGGGTGGCTGTAGGATGTCCTATAGCCCTGGCTGGGTGGCTGTAGGATGTCCTATAGTCCTGGCTGGCTGGCTGTAGGATGTCCTATAGCCCTGGCTGGGTGGCTGTAGGATGTCCTATAGTCCTGGCTGGGTGGCTGTAGGATGTCCTATAGTCCTGGCTGGCTGGCTGTAGGATGTCCTATAGTCCTGGCTGGATGGCTGTAGGATGTCCTATAGTCCTGGCTGGATGGCTGTAGGATGTCCTATAGTCCTGGCTGGGTGGCTGTAGGATGTCCTATAGTCCTGGCTGGATGGCTGTAGGATGTCCTATAGTCCTGGCTGGGTGGCTGTAGGATGTCCTATAGTCCTGGCTGGGTGGCTGTAGGATGTCCTATAGTCCTGGCTGGGTGGCTGTAGGATGTCCTATAGTCCTGGCTGGATGGCTGTAGGGGTGGCTTGTAGGATGTCCTATAGTCCCTGGCTAGGGCTGGCTGTAGGATGTCCTATAGTCCTGGCTGGATGGCTGTAGGATGTCCTATAGTCCTGGCTGATGTCCTATAGTCCTGGCTGGGTGGTTGTAGGATGTCCTATAGTCCTGGCTGGCTGGCTGTAGGATGTCCTATAGTCCTGGCTGGGTGGCTGTAGGATGTCCTATAGCCCTGGCTGGCTGGCTGTAGGATGTCCTATAGTCCTGGCTGGATGGCTGTAGGATGTCCTATAGTCCTGGCTGGATGGCTGTAGGATGTCCTATAGTCCTGGCTGGGTGGCTGTAGGATGTCCTATAGTCCTGGCTGGGTGGTTGTAGGATGTCCTATAGTCCTGGCTGGCTGGCTGTAGGATGTCCTATAGTCCTGGCTGGGTGGCTGTAGGATGTCCTATAGCCCTGGCTGGGTGGCTGTAGGATGTCCTATAGTCCTGGCTGGATGGCTGTAGGATGTCCTATAGCCCTGGCTGGATGGCTGTAGGATGTCCTATAGTCCTGGCTGGGTGGTTGTAGGATGTCCTATAGTCCTGGCTGGATGGCTGTAGGATGTCCTATAGTCCTGGCTGGGTGGCTGTAGGATGTCTTATTGTCCTGGCTGGGTGGTTGTAAGATGTCCTGGCTGGATGGTTGTAGGATGTCCTGGCTGGATGGTTGTCATATAGGCCTGGCTTTGGATATTGGAGATTTAGTGGCTTGCTTGTATTTACAGTCAAATAGGTGTTTAATTCTGCTGGGCGAAATATTGGCCAGAAACCAACAGTCAGTGTACGGAGGATGCAAAACCATCAGAGTGAAGCTGTCACTTTTCTGGGAGAACATCCATCTCCTTATGATTGTTGTTGTTATTATGGTTTATTAAAGGGACACTATAGTCACCTGAACAACTTCAGCTTAATGAGGTTGTTCAGGTGAGAACAATAGCTCCCTGCAGCCATTCGCATGTAAACACTGTATTTTCTGAGAAACATTGACATTTTTCTTAGAAACATTGAAAGCTAGGAACACCTCCAGTTGCAGTCACTCAGAGTGAACCAGAGGGACTTCTGAGTTGATGGAGGCATAATATGCCTCCATCCACTCAGATCTGCTGTGCACGAGCATCCTGTGATTCAGTATCTCCTCCCACTGCATGCAGACACTGAACTTTCAGTTCATCTCTATGAGGAGATGCTGATGTTTGAATTATGCTGGGTCTGCCCTTGGATCTGCCACCTTGTCAGTCTCAGACAATCCTATGAGGAAACACTGTGATTGAATCAGGCTATCACATGTCAGCAGACTGCTTGTTTTTCCAAGTCTAACAGCATGCAGATTTACAGCTTCTAGCTTGAATACTGTTAAATTTTTACTATATTTATGGAGGCATGAGGGGCCCAGGGGGGCTAGATGGTCGTGTTAACACTGTAGGGTCAGGAGTACATGTAGTTGCACTGGTAACTATAGTGTCCCTTTAAGTGCAAACGTGTGTCCTGTAGCACTGTGTGATTTGACTATGGGGCAGTAATAATAATTCTAACCTGTTTTACACCACTTCTGTTTCTGATGCTCTACAAATCTTAACAGTAAACACTGTTTTGTGCTAAAATTACTGAGACATGGCAAGCACAAATGTGATTATGGTGCTCTTTATCCATGGTTAAAATTGGATCTTCGTATGCTCTCGCTATATTGTGCCCTTTATAGTCTTAATGAACAATGACTCCACTGAAATTTAATATTTGCATTTAATTCAGATATTGCCTGCTCATATCATAAACAAGAGTGTAGACATTACTGCAACTGTTGTATTGTGTATTTTATTTATTTACACATATTTTACATGTGGCTACTGTATGAAGGAAAAGTATTCTTTAACTTCCCACCCACAGACGTCAACACCAAGAAAATAGTTTCACCGTATCCTTTTCTCAAAACCATTGACAACTGCGTGATCATGAACAAAGATAAGAATCAGACATCTGAGAGGATCTTGAATCTTACGCTTGAGATCATCTACCTGCTGACAGGAGAGGTGAGGTTATTAGCATATTACGTCATG